AGAGAAAAAAGAGAAAAAAGAGAAAAAAGGAGAAAAAAAGAAAAAAAAAAGCCAGCAAAACTCTGGAAATGACCATGTTAGGCTCACCCTGAGAAAGCTCCATTTCAACCCACCTGGTTGAAACCCAGCGAGAGGGTTACAAATGGCCACATTGATACAGAACAGCCAAATTTAAAAGGTGGTGGTTTGTGGGGTTTTTTTAAGAGCAGCTGAGAAGGCATCTGTGGCACTGTGAAACATCCTGGTTTTCCTGCTGCCGACCATCCTGCCTGGAAGAAAACCCGACGGAGCGGGAACCTGAGCCTTCCGCAGGACAGTCCTGGGCTGGCAGAAGGGCTTCGGTTGCCCCAGGTGACCCCTAATGCTCTGCTTGGGGCTGGAGCAGGTGGATTTTCCGCCCTGCCCATCCGCAGCCGGTCGCTCCAGGCACGGGCACAAAGCTCGGAGGAGCTGGGAGGCTCCAGCAGCAGGTGACAGCAAGGGACAGCTGACAGTTTTCCCCCAAGGAGAGGGGGAACTATTCTCTCTTCAAGAAGGGTCACTCACTTTAATTTATCTGGAACTCACCACGTGAACAATATTGGTGCTTGGAAATCACCTTTGTGGTTCCATCAGACAAATTCTTCCCCGTGGGCCCAGGCTGAGGAAAAGAGACCTTCCCACAACTGAGGGGAAATCTCCCACCCCTCTGCCCACCACTGACTTCATCTCAACCCAGCAGAAGGCAGAAGCGCACGAACTAAGAAATAAACAGAGGGTATTTCCATGGGAGCTCGCAATGTTTAATATGGAAAATTACAGAACATCAACACGTTTTATGCGTAGCTGCACATCTTCCAGGAGAACAGAGGCTGGCGCTCGGTCGCTGCCATTTCGTCTATACCGGGCATGAAAAATGAACGGGCGGAAACCAGCACCGTGGATCTGGGAACTTCGGACACGGGCTGTGGAAGCAGATGGACAATCGCACCCGCCTTCACTTCAGGCTCTTAAACAGTTTGTGAGCAACCTGAAAAGAAGAGACAAAGCACTCAGCAACTTGTACTTTAAGGCTGGAAATGAGCAGGGTGTTACCACCCACCTCTTAGTTTTCTGGGCCACTAATGCAGGTGGCCTCTGCTCCTGTCACTGTTTGGCAACAAGTCATTCACGAAAACTAACCAGCAGAGATTTCTTACGTTCCACCTCAAGTTAAAGAGGCTTAATTTCGAAAATGCAAACACAACACTAAAATAGCAAGTCATCTGTAGGGCAGAAACATCCTGCTTGAGTTATTTAATAACCTACTTCTGAACTCCCTCTGATTCAAGAGCATCTCACGCTCGATCTATCTGCACTCTCACAAGTGCAGACAGCGGCAGCTCGGCTCCCAGCACCGGCAGGGAGGTGGCACTCACACAGTGGTCCCTGGCGTGCAGGAAGTCGAAGAGCTCCTCCGTGCACTGCTCTTCTGTCTGGGACCTGGAGGACACCCGCGCGTCGCACAGCCCCAGCCGCTCCCGCGCCTTCACGCATTTCTCCGTCTGCTCGCAGTGCTCCCGGACCGTGGTTAAAGGATCCTGCAGACACGCGAGACTCCTGTGAGAACAGGGAGACCCCAAAACGCCGTTTTCCCCCCTCCCCGAGACCCGCTGCTTTAAGCGGAAGCACATGCAGGCCCGGCTTCAAGCTCCAGACCGCCACCACGGAGCGGCGGCAGCGGCCCAAGCCCCCAGCAGTCGGTCTGTCTGTG